TATTTGGCTATATATACAGTTTAAGCAATATAATTGATGTCACTTGTGTCTTTTGGGAGGCATCTTTGATTCTTGACGTACATGGTTGGCCGCCACAGTACTACAGCATTTCACTTCAGCTGACACGACTGAGTGGCCTATATATGACTCCCGTCTCTCTTTAGACTGCTCTGTCTTTTGTAGCCTTCTGCCTCCTGTCCCCTGGGATTCAGTTACATTGTATCATTGTCAGCTGCAGCGCTGGCAGGATAGAAGCCCAGTAAGTGACAGGTGTGGCCAAGTGTGGAAACGCTGTGAAACGGCTTCTAATGAATAAAACACACGGCTTTAAAGGGAACCTGCGGCCACCACATCTAGGGACCGGTAAGCTGCAATATACAGTACTACTGTTTTTGGTTTTGGGGTTACATGCTCTTTAGGGCTCGTTCTGTGTGAGGTCCGGTGCAGGGGGTCGTGGGATATGCTGTTTCAGAGCTTCACACTGGTTTTAACAGTGTACATGTGCACTCCATTCAGGTCTCTTCATAGCAGCACCCTGTACTATGGTGACCGCTGGTTCCATCCGGTGGGCTGCTGAAAAGTGCAGCATGTTTGCATTTTTCCACGCCGCACATTGCACTAGCATTGTGGTATGAATGGGGTACAGAGAACTTTTTTTTTTTCTATGTGACTTGTGTTGTTATTGTGCATTAAAATGCAGGTCACTGCTTACAAAATGGAATTTGCTAGCTGCAGGGCTTCTATTGCTGAAGAGTCTCTGGATGTCTTACCTGCAGCCTGCTAGCAAGTTTCTAGATTGTACGCTGAGCCAGGCATACACAGCTTAGTGGTGCAATATCGGCATTCACATGTTTATGTAGAGGAGTTATAGCATCCTGTGACAGCCAGTCAAGATGGCTGAAGTCGCCGAACATGAAAGAAGACCAGGCATAGATGTCAGCAGTGGCGAGGTACCTGCAGACGTCGCAGTGAGCACTGGTGTGGAGGTAAGAGAAGAAGACTTTGGTTTTGCTTTAACTTTCTCCACAGTGCTACTGCAGCCAGCACTCAAGTGCTTTTCTTTCCGAACCTGTAATGTGGACTGGTTCTCTCCTACATCGCATACAGTGCAGGACTGGGCTTGAAAGGTGCAGCTTCAAGGGTCATCATCCTGAACCTCCCAGTAACAAAAACCTTGCCCTAACAGGTCCCACCTTCCTCTTCCATAGATGTATATTATTATACAGGATTTATATAGCGCCAAAAGTTTGCGCATCACTTTACAATATAGGCAAGACCATAACAATCACAATACAATTCAAGACAACATGGTAAGGAGGGCCCTGTCCCGTGAGGGAGGGGCCAGTGATACATGAGGAGGTAGCTGTGAGGGGATGAATTATTTGAGAATGTGATGGTTCAGTGGCTAGGTTGAGGTGGGGTAGGCTTCCCTGAAGACATGAGTCTCTAGGGATCGCCTAAAGGCAGTCAAGGTGGGAGATATTTACCAGCATCTGCTGCCCAGGGCCTCCCATGGTTGCTTACATCCCACGCTGAACTCTCACTTTGGCTGAACCTGTGCAGTAGAACCCCATAGACATCTCCTGGGGCTCCTAACCCAGGCCGGAGACTTCAATGGTAGATGTAAACAAATGTGGGCAGGCACAGGATCATGGTAAGTATGCATCTGTAGAGGGGGAGGGTTGGATCTTTTTTAGTATGGAGCAAAAACAATACATGCACTTTCGCTCTAAAGGATAATTGTCCTGTAGT